CAGCAGCAGCATAGTATGCGATTACTTCACTATCGGGTGCATAGCAGGGTTCTTTTTTGATTCAGTAAGAGTTTTACTTCGCTTGCAATACAGACCATACAAACACTGAATGATGTGTATAGTGGATATTGGTTAAGTGAACAAGAATTCTAGACAACATTAATTTTATTCTTTTTCTTACGTTCTATTTTTTATGTTTTTAATTTGTTCGCTGATTTTTTCTTTTTTTTTTTTCTTTCTATTAGTATTTCTGCCGGACTGCTATGTCCTTCTCTGCCCGGTTTGGCCCTGACAGGCAGGATCAACAATTAGTGTCTAAAATTATCTAAATTGTGTTGAAGGGAAGTTAAAGTGTCAAATTTGAAACAGACATCAGTGATCATGGTTCTTCATTCAGTTCTCCCCTCGGATGCGATGCTCTAATAAATCCCACATTATTCTCGTCTCTCCCCTACACCCATCTATTCGGGTTTTCCAAATACATTTCTCTGGGTCTACCACTGCCTCCTTTGCCTTCTAGTCAAGAGCAGACTCAGAGAGACCTTCTTACAAATTCTGAACTCCTACACTTAAAAATATGTAAATTAACACATTTCTACCAAGCTCAAATCTGTCTTTGTACCCCTAAATCCCTGGCATAGTTGTATGAATGGCCTGAAAATAGGGCAATTTTTTAAAAGGTTATATCTCAGACATGGTTGCTTCGATTGTCCTGAAATGTTCAGTATGTACTCTCATAATATGAATTCTCAACATTTTTCATGGCTATATCTCAGAAATGGTTGCATCAATTGCTAAGAAACTTCGAGTATGTGCTGACACATGAATTCTCAACATTTTTTATGGCTACTTCTCAAAGACGGTTGCACCAATTGCATGATAATTTCAATATGTACTCACATATGAATTACCAACACTTTTTTAAAGACTATATCTCAGAAACGGTTGCACCAATTGCGTCATAGTTTCAATACGTACTCACATATGAAATCCCAACACTTTTTTAAAATGGCTATATCTCAGAAACGGGTGCATCGATTTACATGAAACTTCTTGTATGTATTGTATGTACTTACATATAAATTCTAAATACGTCTTACCCCCCAGACCCTGGAGATCAACGGCTGGGTGCGCGTGCTGCACGGTCAGTGTCCACGAGGGGAGGAGCCACAGCTCGCCCTGTTCGCCACCTGCTCACCCTTCGGCCCCCTCAGCCTGTTCGACATCCCGTCCAGGGAGATGACCTTCAAGACCAAGCACAAGATGGACTTCTCACCCGTCACCATGGACAACCGGTGAGGGAGGAGGAGGTGTCGTTTCTCCAGCTTGTGTTGTTGTTGTTGTTGTTGTTGTTGTTGTTGTTGTTGCTGTTGTAGTTGTTGTTGTTGGTGGTGGTGGCGGTGGTGGTGAGGGTGGTGGTGTGATCTTTGTTGGAAGTGGTGTTTGTTGACGTTGGATTTTTTTTTGGTTATTGTTGTTTTTGTTATTGCTGGTTTTTGCTGCTGCTGCTGTTGTTGTTGTTGTTGTTTTTGTTGTTGTTGTTGTTGTCGTTGTTGTTGTCGTTGCTGTTGTTGTTGTTGCTGCTAGCTAGCTAGCTAATCTGAAATTGTGTCGATCTGTATACAACAGATAAACAGCAAATTAAACCGATTTGGGAATCTGTCAAAGACTGGCACCAGAAAATAGAGTAGCAGGAGCATACAACCAGAGATCAGACGGAAACAAAGGAAGAGGCAGACCCAGGGAAAGGTGGATAGAGGGGATCGGAGTAATATTAGACAAACACAATGTAACTATATAACAGGCGACACAAAAAACAAGAGAAAGACTTTTGCTTCTCCCATCGATACCTAAAAGTAACAGAGGCTAGAAAAAGTCAAAATTAAGCAAGTAATTATAACAATTACAATAATAATAATAATAATTATAATAATAATGATGATAATAATAATGATAACAATAATCATCATCATCATAATCATAATAATAA